GAGACCACCGGGACAAAAACGCCTATTGCATTCTGACAGTTAGATTGTTTGTTCAGTGTTTACTCCAAAGTTCATCCTGCAGTTTATAACAGTATCACAAATCAGATCATCTTAAGCTAAAACAGAGACAATGAAACTTTGACCTCTAACACCTCTCGGTGCCATACATGTGTCGAGATACCATCCATAAAACTGGGGGTATATATGTTATGTTGTACATGCCGACGGAGACTGTAAGGCGTTCGTGTGCTATGCTTTTACATGCTGTTGTGCATTCGGTCATATAACCATGGTAAGTGATTTTAATAACTTTTACATCTTTCATATAGAGTTTAGATTTCCTAAATTCGATTGAAGATGATATAAACACAAGTTGGACGGTTTTAGGTATCAAATGTTTATTTACTTCTTACACGGGTGGTTGTAAACAAAGAATAGAACATTTAAATGGAATAAACCATGTAGCATTTTCGTGATATGAAATATTTTGAACTTTAATTTTGCTGTACCATAATTGATGTTGAAATAACATCCAGTTCTTTAATTTTCATTCAAAACATATTATCGTATTTCAATGTCATTTTGTTTAACTATTTCAATGTAAATTGTACAACGAAATTATGTATGAAGTTTCTCCTACGATCTGGCGACACGTGCCAATCAATAACACAAGGAATCTATTCTTATGATTTGAATTTGACGTCACGCCAAAATAGCTTCTCTGCTACTCAAATAGAACTGTATGGCGGAGAGGTTTGGCTGGCATTACATTTACAGCACGGAGAATTTCGCGTACCTGTACGTGTTATAATTCTTTCTAACTGTTATTGATAATTGAATCCATGGGGTTAGTGCACTTCCTGGTCAAGATATTCACATTTCTTTTGATCAATGTTGACATTCTTCGGTCGAATCTTATATTTTAAAATCAAGGCCTTTAGCATCACTGACGAATCCTAGAAGGACGAAAGGACTGCGTGGTGCAGGTTAATTACGTATTGGCTTTATTGTCCCTCATTTCATATTTGTACTCAACGGTGATAGTGCCTTGAGTGTCTTTTGTACAATCATCAACTTAGCTACAAATTATGTTAAATACGAGAAAAAATTTTCAAAAGTAAATAATATCTATATACAGGAGTTGGCGCCTTTGTGACAGTATGGCATTGACTAAGAATAAGTATAATCGCTGACCAGGGGGAAGCTAAATCTAAGGGCATACTATTTATGTGACATACCCCCTTAACTCTCTCGCACATATCAGAGGCAAAATGCTTAAGGATATATGAAGGCCTTTTGTTCAAAATTTCTGAAATCCATCTTTCGTTCTGGCATGTTTTTTTGAAAGGTTACAATTCAGAAAGTATTTTTAATCCGAAGCATGCCATCAATTACGCCATCAAATACACAGATCACATACAAATGGCTAAATGCGCTATATAACGTGCCCTTTTTCAAATTTATTAGAAAATGTATAAAGATACACATAAGTCTACGATATTACGTTGGAATTCATTTTAAATTGTATAATGACCTTCATTCATCAATTAGCACCATAGTTCTTAATCTAAAATAAAAAGTTACAAGTTCAGTACTGAAGCTAGCATATTACATTGATTCTAGCACAAATAACAAATGAAAATACTACTTTTGTTCATATTAAAAAATTATGGGGAAGCTTTATGGTCGGAATAATGAACTCGTTGAGAAATATTCTATTTCTTTGTGTGACGTGACGTTGGACGTATTTTATGCTCGTTAATTTGCATGTTGGTTCTGTTTTTGTATACGTTGTTCTCATTTGAGAACTCGACATTACTTACTCGGATTGACCAGGGTTAACATGTGTCGTTGATGAGGCAGTAGACGCTTACTAATCCGGAACAACTGGTCTTCTTTTCCTTGTACAAGAGTCTCCTGTACTTTTTCAGGAGTCTACATGTCTATGTTACCATGTCCATGTTGGCAATTTCTTGTTGTTTTTGGTTTAGGTAGCAATTCATATTATGAGTCATACTCAAGTCTAACTATATCAACTTACAAAGTAATTTTCTACGCCCAACATAGACACGGGATCAAAGTTGGATATAGCTGTTGATATAATCAGGATACAACTTTTTTTCTTCCTGAAGAATATCTTAACAGAAGAATGTGGATTGATTTTATTTGAGCCAGATCTGTAACGTAAAAGTACAATGCAGTACAATAATGTATAAGTTTTATTCGTTTTACAAGACGTTTGAAACAAGAAATACACCCGTAAATTGATTCGTAATGTTGCTCAAATGGAAGAAAACGGGGATGTGTTTTTGGTGGAAGGAAACCAAAGCAGTCTTGTCATGGTCGTATCGCTGACCATCGGTAAAGTTTCAGTTTAGAAAGGGTCTCCAAATTTTGTAATCAGTTAATTTAGAATTTTCAAGTTTATTCAGCAGCTTTCCAGAAAATAGATAGTTAAGTAAATAGAAGACTGTTTTGGTTAATACAATTTTAATAAGTATGTAAGTCTCTCAAACAATCAAACAATGCTCTCGTTATACCATTTTTTCTGAGAAGGCAAAGCCTGGTAAGGACGAATTGGAAGGGAAAAATACAAAGGGCAACTGGTTCAGTTAGAGGTCTACCATACAGCTACGTGTGTACAGTAATAAAAACAAAGCTTTCGTATCCGGGTCCTACTTTATGCACGTAGATGATAAAAGATAGTCATCAGGAATGTGTTCTCATACACATTACCTAAGCAGGATATAACAGTAATCAATGTGTTTATATTACATCATGTATAGTTTATGTAAGATTCAAGGTCTTGATATACGTATAAGGCGGGATAATCGTTGGCCTAAACTTACCCAGTGTTTACATCGTTTGCGTTGTATCCTTGTTTTGTATTTATAATGAAACGAATTAAGATATGTACCTATTACGAATGGGAGTAAAAAGCAAAACAAAAAATAAAACAAAAAACACAGGAAAATACCAACATATATAGTCATAATCCAAACTCAAATTCAATAAAACTAAGGAAAATTAAACAAAGAAGATATTTACACAGAGACTCATAAGAAAGTACAATGAGAGTAAGACCAAGTGTTCCGAAAGAGTAAACGTCTTCTGCTTCATCGACGACACTCGACATCGTAGATATTGGTTGATCTAAGCAAGTTATGTCACGTTCTCAAATGAGAACAAGGTTTACAAAAACGGAACAAACAGGCAAACTAACGATGTAGAACTAGTATTCAGCGAAACACAACACATATCTTGTTGTAAGGACAAGAAACACATTTACTTACCACAATATATTTGAGTGACCTGTTTATCACATCTATTCTAAGTCACATTGTGATCACCAAGCGGTAATTGTGAGTAGGAGGAGGTGATAGGTTTAGGAATTTGCTACAGTGATACCACAGAGAAAAGTGCCACAGACGTTTTCAGATTTATTGAGATTTTCTTTACGTCTTACGAAAATAAAAAAAATAAGTCTTAATTGATCTATGGAAATAAGATAATTACCTATGCCATCACCACAAGGATTTAAATATCCGTTTGTGAGAACGAGACCTGGCTGATCAAATGCTGGAGCTCGTCAGATCTTACAATACATAAGCATTATACTTACCTTCAGCAGTTTACTATATTAATGAATATTAAGTAGTACTTTTGAGCAACCCGAAATATTTAACTATAGTCCGCACAAGTGTGTGGACCTTGGTTGTACTAATGCATATCTATATGTGTAGCAGGATTTCGATTTCGAGTTATTTTTATCATTTTTAGTATCCAGACAAAGACATTAAACATGTATCTATAATTCAAATTGTATTGACCAATCAAAAATAATATAATAAAATAAGAAAATAAAGACTAATTGACATTATTAGCAAATGTAGTGATGTGTCAGGGCTATATAAGGATGTCTTTCTAATATTCTTGTGTAAGTCCAGTGGAGCGAATCTTTCAAATCACACAACGCTGCTTTGCTTAACACTTTTTATCTCCCGCTTTCACCGAAATTTGGGGTTGTCCGTCCGTGCGTGCCTCCGTCTGTCTGTCACACTTTCGTTTCCGTGTTCTAACCTCCCCAAATATTATCCAACTTGGGTGAAACTTGGTCAGCAGATGCATCTTGGGTCATTAAGACTGAGTTTGACTACCAGTACCATCTGTTGATAATTATTAATAGTGATGAGGTATCCTTTTATTTCATTAATCGGTTCATTTCCGTGCTCTAACTTCCCTAAATATAATCCGATTTAGATGAAACTTGGTCAGCAGATGCATATTAGGACACATAAGACTGAGTTCAGCAATTAGCATCATCTATCAATATCTATGCCTGCTTAGCACAATTATATTTACTAGTATGCAAGTTTTCTTCAATTAGTTCACTTTTTTGGTTAATATTTGACATGTCCAATAAAACATCTACTCTCTATAATCCTTTACATCTTTCTTTGACTTTAAAGCAATACATCATAGTTCAAGAGAATATATCATTCTACATATCATTATGACATGCTTACTCCTAACCTCTAAAGTATTTACTTACAATATGTTTGGAAAGCGGGTGATATAGATTGCATGAATTTGCTTGTTTTATGTAACATTTACCGGGATGCAGATATACAATATACCTATGAAGCAGTCCTGACGGAATTTGTAAACGCCAGCCTCCATTTCATTTCGTCAAATAAAAATTATAGGTAAACAATCCGGGAATAAGACCATTGAATGATAAAGGTTTCTTGTGATTAGGAATTCTTCTAAAACACACCAAAACAGTCTGTCTTGTTTTAGAGACGGTATTGTGAAAAACACATGACCTGTAGGGGATTGTATAAGAGACTGTATGTACTGTTAAGTGACGCTATTGTAAGTAATATCATAGACGTACATCTATTAATATCCATTGTTTTCCTGATATTTTTTTCGATAAAGATGTTGTAATAGTACTTTGTCACAAAACTAAACATTGCTACGGCTACTTTGTAGAATGCGTCGGATCTGCCGGAAGAGGAACTTGCGCGTAAGTACAGTTTTTGTATCGGTGTTTTATAATTTTAAACCTATGCGATGAAAACGCACTTTGCTTGCTTATTATACACAGAAAATATGCATGGATTCAAATTCTAAGATATCTTTATGAATTGCTAATACCAATAAACAATATATACATTACACATACCCACTTCAAATCTGATCGCCATTTAAGAAAAAAAATTCTGCCTTTTTCAAAATTGCTTTAATTAACGCTCTCGATTTAGATTTATAAATTTGAATTCGTTTTAAGTTCTAAGTACGTGATAGCTTGTGTAATATTTGTGTCTTGATAAAGGGACAGATTGCCTCGTAAATTGGACAATTGTCCGTACTGTCGTTATTACTTCATTGATAATACATATATTTTCTAATGTTTACAGGTCTGCGCGAGACATTTAAAATGTTTGATCGTGACAATAGCGGCAGGATAACAGCCGAGAACCTTACCTTGGTAATGCAAACTTTAGGACAGAATCCTACACAAGAGGAGGTGGAAGACTTGTTAAAAGATAAGGACGTTGACGGTAAGATCCCAATCAGAAGTTTCAATCCTGTGTCCTTAATCCTTTCGACGGTGACGCTGATAATCGTCTCCTGAATTGCAGACGGTAGTAACCGCATAGAGATGTTCTGATGAAATATTTAGATATGATGAAAAACATCCAAATGTATCCATATTGAATAAGCAGACATTTCCGTTATTTGAAAAAAAATGAAAAAAAAATCTTGTTATAAAAACGTGTTTATTTGTAATCTATCGACTGGAATGGATGATTTTTTTTATTGTTGTGCTTTGCCCGGGTAGAACCCCATGGCGTTTTAGATATACAGAAATTCATAAATCTATCCACTGTGTTTAATTAACCAGCACAGTGAAGATATTGAATATTTTTTAAAGTCTTACTTCGATAAAATTCGTCATTCTTATCTTAACTGAACAGAAACATGCACGTGCAAACAAAACATATGCATTAACGATAAAAATTGCACAAAATTCTAATATACCGATATTTGTTAAGTCCAGCATTTCCCGGTGGTGGAGATATATTCGCCAAATTAGACATGTATGTTGATACTGGTACAGAAATTTGTGCAGAGTTGACCAGTTTAATTAAATTATGGACTAGAAGACTTGGCAGTATGTGTAAGTTTCCACGATACACAGACATTCAGATAAGACAGTCATATGTAAAATTGTTAGATTTCCGAATCGCCAGGGATGTTCATTTTAACCTCGTTACAGGCTTGTTTTGTGAAAAGCGACGCAATATTGTATTTCAATAACGTATTTTCTTTTTATCAAGAAAACATATTATGCATATTTTCTTTATAACGCCAATTTCTTAGATACCGAAAAGTGATAATGGCAGTGTAACGAATGTTACATGTAACGTTCATGAAATGTTTCCAAGACATCGTCATATATTTTGATGTTATCCATCAGTTTTTTAAAGTTTTCTCTATGTTACTGAATACAGTTTTTCTTTTCAGTCCATGAGATAGTCTCAGAGCTGCATGTGTTGAAAATTTGCTTCGACACTCATCAATTCTTGAACGTTGTTTCGTGCGATCAAACAGGAGTTTTGTATTCACATTAAATGCATTGCATGACATGTTCGCACATAATGTGTTTTTGAAAATAGGGATTAGTTTGCGGAAGGATCTTCTCCATCCACGATCGTAAAAGTTCGAATTTTTAATTCTTTAAAACGTTCTCCATTCGTCCAGTCTTAAAACGCAGTAATTAGAGACTGTAATTTAGAGTCATCTTCCCCTGACATGAAGATTTTGACCTTTGAAATATTTCACTGACTAACCTGTAGATCTAACTAATCAACATAATTGGCTCCTTGGGGTTTACATAACTATGCATAACACATTTATAAAATCCCAAAAGTTAATTCGAATCCTAAGAGGCAGCAGATTTGACGAGCTACTTGGCCCCTAGTGATTTGGGATACAATCACTGTAGTTAAAAAGCGGCGATAATTGAGTGCTGCCCGTATATTGTGTGATATCTATATTCTTACTGTGAAAAACGTATATAATGCCATCTAACTGTCAAATTGTCTGGTTTCTACATCACTTGGATAACGCGTGGTAGTGTTAATTCTGAATCAGAATCGAATACCCATACTACATGATTTCATTCGCCATTCTGGCACCACCAGCACCTTTTCGTAAAACTCACACCACGAAACAAAGAATACGTTGGTGTCTGTTTGTGATGTTTGCTGTGTTCATCTCCCCGTTTACAGCTAGAATGATTCTGAATCGGGGCCTATTAGTAGGAAGGGGCTACCACTCTGAACAACATGCGAGAGGTCCGTCGCATGCCATCCAGTGGAATTCGGGTAAAGTGTACTGTCCTATTACACAACCACAACAACACAGAACGGTGCATTTCTAAGCGTCCCAAGAAACACAAACCATAGCGGGCGGGGCGCGTTCTGTGGGTACTCACTATTATATGTGCAAACGCTCTACTATTTGAGCAAACGAGGCAACGCAATATATGGAAACAAGCAGAAGAAAGGTGAGAGACTTTTAATGTCACCGGTTACATCACCTCTGATTTGTTATAAATATATTTTTTTAGATTTGTACTGAATAGAATCAATGTACAATTTCATTCGAAAAATCAACGCTTGAACACATCAGTACTGACGATCTGTTGTATTTTACAAATAGTTTTTTTCATGGGTCATTATGATTTAAGAAATTTCGTGATAGAATTTAGTATTAATGAATCAATTATGACAAATTGATATAGTTATTAACCTGCTATTCTGAACACCTCAGTATTTTGTATGTCTAACATTGACTTTGTTACGGCCGTGAGACCTCGGGAAATATTCCTGTAATAATCTATTATGCTGACTACAGCGTTCTGGCTGCATATTCCTGTTGCAAGCTTACGTAAATCACCTGCCATATTATACCTGTGATACCCAATGTTATGACTCCTTTGAATGTGTAGGTATCGTGCCAAAACGCCATCTCTTTAGTAACATTCCCTGTACACAATAGACTGCGGCGGAGTCGGGAGGTCCCGTTTACTCTAACGGCCCATTAATATAACAATAAATATTGGTTTTATTGCAGCTATGATCAACTTTATATCTTTTAGATTTAATTTATTACACGGAATATAAGTTTTTAATAGAGAAATGTGTAGTTCTAACATGTGTTACCAGGTATCTCGCTCCTTACGAGAATGTTTTTATTAACTTGTTTCCGTTTTGTGTTTGTTCATAGCAAGCCTCTGATAACATCCATATCGCTTTGCCAAGCAATATTTCATATCTTGAACAAAAGCATATTTCAAATTTCAAAATTTCAGACTTCAACTTTTTCAAATTTCAATTCGAACTAAGATTGGTATGTGATCAGTTTTTCTATTTATTTTTTTTCTACAATTTTTTAAAATCTTATTTTATCTTATTTAGGAGACGGGATGATCAACTTTGAAGATTTTACAAAAATGATGAAAGTAAAAATGGAAACGAATGAAGAGGAAGCGGAATTACGTCTCGCGTTCAAAGTATTTGATAGAGACAATAGTGGGAAAATAGATTTCGAGGAGCTCCGACTGGCATTGACCAATATCGGAGAGAAGTTAACGAACGATGAGGTGAAGGAGATGCTGAAGGATGCGGATAGCAATGGAGATGGCGAGATCGATTATGAAGGTTAGAAAATTCTCTGGTATCTTTGATGAATTGTAACACCGGAAGTGTCAAAAATTTGTCTCATATAATCTCTTCAACAGAACAAACAACAAAGCTAATCAAACAAAACAAAACAAAAACAAGAAAAAAAAAAAAAAAAAAACCCAAAGAAATAAGCAAACGAAACAAAAAACCCAAAGAAAACTAAAAAAATTAAACAAAAAAAAAAAAAAAAATAGGATACAAACTGATAAGAATTAGGTTCGTAAAATGTCATCAGTATTCATCAGCCATAAATAGTCCATAAGCCAGAAGATCAGACCTAACTTGATAGTTTTGGACGTGAAAAACGTTCCATTATTCATTGTCGACGTCTGAAACTCACGAATTCCCCTCGCGGTCGACATGGTCTCTCAATACTGACAAAATGACAATGTCCAGTAAACATCCTTCTCCCTCCGGACAGCAGCACGTGAGCTCTGATAATTAACCACATTCTAGATATATACTTAATATTATGTAAATAGTTTTCTTTCTGAAGAACTGGACAGCAATATATTTTGATGGGTAGTTTGTAATAGGCCCACACGTAAAGCATCGCTGTTGAATAAAATGAACCACATAGTTTTTATCCCAGACGAGTAGGATTCACCAAAGTAATCATATAACATAGTTCCGTTCATAACTCTTCTTTGTGGTAGTCAATAAGTTAGTTGGTATGAAATATTGCAGATGGCGTCTATTTTACTGGTCAAGATAACGGAGAGGGTAGATGTATTATTTGTATTTGTATAAATATTGGAAAATATGGCAGTCATACGTCACATTGTCGAGGGTTCAAACCAAAAATGTAGCATATCCGCGTAATTCAGAACATATCAGCTAGCCTCATAATACCTCAAAATACATTAACATCTTTAAAAGTTGCTCAACCATTTTTACCCTTTAAACAGACAAAATTAACATAAACATACAAATATCCCATTTTTACAGTGCATGTCTAATTTATTTTTTAATGTCCTAGTTTGTTCTAAGTATATATCGTACGGTAACGTCCCCCATATGTGCTCTCTAACATAGCATAAAGACAACGTCTCATTAACCTCAAATATCACACGATCACACCTTCAAACTCAAATTACGAAAATAAAATAAAACAGTAACTCTCTTACACAAATCTCACATGCAGTAAATACAACCGAATCCTTTAATATTCTCAAAGCTGCGCGATAATATCCGCGAGTGGGGGAGGTAACTCTGTTATGTGTGGCCTTCATGTCCTTTAATGCTTTGACTATTGTTGACTGTTGTTCCTAATTAGACCATGAAGTATCGGATCATTGCCAAACGTAATATCACATTGCATGAGAGTCATCAATTCAATTTTTCTGTCGTCACGGTTGAGTTGGTGACTTTATTAAGAGGTCATACATAATTAATCGTTTTATCACCTGTACACCGTATTAGCTAGTGTATATACCTGTATGTTATTACGTCCTGAGTGATTCAAAAACATCTGGTACGATTTTCCCAAGTCAGTCACTGAAACTTACACATATACAGATCATCAAAAATGATTTTTTTCAGTATATATACATTCCGAATTCTTAGTAAATGTTATAATCACTGTCTCTTTTACACGATCACACGTTTATTAAGAAATATCCCGTACATTGATTGTTTCCTCGCGGAGCTACAGGTATTATTTTACTGTCAACAACCAGCTCACAAATAACTGAAAAACAGCGAAATATACGTGAAGAAAACAAGTGCAAAGATAGAGGAAAAGCTGACAACATATGATCTAATGACGCTCCGACAACAATAACAAAGACCGGAAGTTTTACACAATGATGGTGTTCTGACAGATAACTTTATGAATTCCACATCATTGTAATTGTTTTTGTTTTCTGTTTTTAACGAATGTAATTTCATGCTTGGTTGATCGTCATTATGACAATAACGGTTTACAGTAGGTGAAATGTGTGTTGTATGTTAGAAGGTTAGTGATTGGCTTTAAGTTTCCGAAACTACCGATCTACCACCCTTCTGGAAATCATTGTTACACCATCCTTGTCTATTCAGATCAAAGTGTTTTATGATAATTTCGTTTCAAATATCCATTGAAATCGATATTGCGTTCCGATTTTTCCATTGGGTTTGTGGAATTCACTAGAATGAACGTATATATCTTGCCTGTTTGTGTATTATATATTTTGTCCCTCTGTGTTGAGGTTGTGGTATATCTTGAAGTGCTATATTCTGATGTTTTGGTATATTTTATTCGATCGTCTAACGCTGTGGTATATTTTGTCCTTGTGCATTGACAATGTGGTGTATTCTACAGCTCTGTTCTGACACTATGTTGGGTACATCTTAAAGCTATATGTTGTAGCGACGTTATAACACTGGTATATGTTGTCCTTGTGTAAGGTCTATACTTTGTTCCTCTAAGTGACGTTGTGGTATAATTTATAAATTTGTGTAAACGTTCTTTTACAATTTTGTTGATGTGTGCTGACATTATTGAAGGACTTGTTGATGTTTGTTGACGTTGTTGAAGGACTTGTTGATGTTTGTTGACGTTGTTGAAGGACTTGTTGATGTTTGTTGACGTTGTTGAAGGACTTGTTGATGTTTGTTGACGTTGTTGAAGGACTTGTTGATGTTTGTTGACGTTGTTGAAGGACTTGTTGATGTTTGTTGACGTTGTTGAAGGACTTGTTGATGTTTGTTGACGTTGTTGAAGGACTTGTTGATGTTTGTTGACGTTGTTGAAGGACTTGTTGATGTTTGGTGACGTTGTTGAAGGACTTGTTGATGTTTGTTGACGTTGTTGAAGGACTTGTTGATGTTTGTTGACGTTGTTGAAGGACTTGTTGATGTTTGTTGACGTTGTTGAAGGACTTGTTGATGTTTGTTGACGTTGTTGAAGGACTTGTTGATGTTTGTTGACGTTGTTGAAGGACTTGTTGATGTTTGTTGACGTTGTTGAAGGACTTGTTGATGTTTGTTGACGTTGTTGAAGGACTTGTTGATGTTTGTTGACGTTGTTGAAGGACTTGTTGATGTTTGTTGACGTTGTTGAAGGACTTGTTGATGTTTGTTGACGTTGTTGAAGGACTTGTTGATGTTTGTTGACGTTGTTGAAGGACTTGTTGATGTTTGTTGACGTTGTTGAAGGACTTGTTGATGTTTGTTGACGTTGTTGAAGGACTTGTTGATGTTTGTTGACGTTGTTGAAGGACTTGTTGATGTTTGTTGACGTTGTTGAAGGACTTGTTGATGTTTGTTGACGTTGTTGAAGGACTTGTTGATGTTTGTTGACGTTGTTGAAGGACTTGTTGATGTTTGTTGACGTTGTTGAAGGACTTGTTGATGTTTGTTGACGTTGTTGAAGGACTTGTTGATGTTTGTTGACGTTGTTGAAGGACTTGTTGATGTTTGTTGACGTTGTTGAAGGACTTGTTGATGTTTGTTGACGTTGTTGAAGGACTTGTTGATGTTTGTTGACGTTGTTGAAGGACTTGTTGATGTTTGTTGACGTTGTTGAAGGACTTGTTGATGTGTGCTGACATTATTGAAGGACCTGTTGATGTTTGTTGACGTTGTTGAAGGACTTGTTGATGTTTGTTTGACGTTGTTGAAGGACTTGTTGATGTTTGTTGACGTTGTTGAAGGACTTGTTTATGTGTGCTTGTTGAAGGACTTGTTGATGTTTGTTGACGTTGTTGAAGGACTTGTTGATGTTTGTTGACGTTGTTGAAGGACTTGTTGATGTGTGCTGACGTTGTTGAAGGACTTGTTGATGTTTGTTGACGTTGTTGAAGGACTTGTTGATGTTTGTTGACGTTGTTGAAGGACTTGTTGATGTTTGTTGACGTTGTTGAAGGACTTGTTGATGTGTGTTGACGCTGTTGAAGGACTTGTTGATGTTTGTTGACGTTGTTGAAGGACTTGTTGATGTTTGTTGACGTTGTTGAAGGACTTGTTGATGTGTGTCGACATTATTGAAGGACTTGTCGTGTGTTGACGTTGTACAAGGACTTGTTGAAGTGTGTTGATGTTGTTGAAGGACTTGTTGATGTTTGTCGACATGTTTGTTGACGTTGTGAAGGACTTGTTGATGTGTTGACATTGTTGAAGGACTTGTTGATGTTTGTTGACGTTGTTGATGTTGTTGAAGGACTTGTTGGTGTTTGTTGACGTTGTTGAAGGACTTGTTGATGTTTGTTGACGGTGATGAAGGACTTGTTGATGTTTGTTGACGTTGTTGAAGGACTTGTTGATGTGTGTTGACATTGTTAATGACTTGTTGATGTTGTTGACGTTGTTGAAGGACTTGTTGATTGTTGAAGGACTTGTTGATGTTTGGTGACGTTGTTGAAGGACTTGTTGATGTTTGTTGACGTTGTTGAAGGACTTGTTGATGTGTGCTGACATTATTGAAGGACCTGTTGATGTTTGTTGACGTTGTTGAAGGACTTGTTGATGTTTGTTGACGTTGTTGAAGGACTTGTTGATGTTTGTTGACGTTGTTGAAGGACTTGTTGATGTTTGTTGACGTTGTTGAAGGACTTGTTGTTGTTTGTTGACGTTGTTGAAGGACTTGTTGATGTTTGTTGACGTTGTTGAAGGACTTGTTGATGTTTGGTGACGTTGTTGAAGGACTTGTTGATGTTTGTGTCGACATTGTTGAAGGACTTGTTGATGTGTGCTGACTTTTTTGAAGGACTTGTTGATGTTTTTCGACATTTTTGAAGGACTTGTCGATGTGTGCTGACATTATTGACAAGGACCTGTTGATGTTTGGTGACGTTGTTGAAGGACTTGTTGATGTTTGTTGACGTTGTTGAAGGACTTGTTGAATTTGTTGACTTTTGGATGTGTGTTGACATTGTTGATGGAAGGACTTGTTGATGTGTGTTGACGTTGTTGAAGGACGTTGTTGTCGTGTGTTGACGTTGTTGAAGGACTTGTTGAAGTGTGTTGATGTTGTTGAAGGACTTGTTGATGTTTGTTGCTG